CAACCTTTTAGAGATCCCAAGCCAGAACCACCCTCCTAAGCCACTCTTGATTCCCATAGAAACTGCAAAAACTGTATGAAATTAAAAAAAAAAATTATTGGTTTACGTCACTAAGGTTTGGGATAACGTATTATGCACTAATAGTTAACTAATAGATCAGTCATCATGAGGAGGGATGCAGGGAAGAAACTGATTCAAGGTTGAGGGCTGTTTCAGGGTCAATGTGGAAGGGCAGAGATGGCTGAATGGACTTGGAAGTGTTGATGAGACTGAGTTTGAAATAAATCATCATGGAGTCCAGGGTAGAAAGGGAAGAAAGCAAAACCAGATGAGGGAACAGATTTGGAACTGGGAGACTGTAAACTGCAGATTTCACTGAAGCTGAAGAGCAGGTTTGGTGAGGGTAAAGGAGTAAGAATATGCAAAAAAAGAAAGTTTTGTTTTGAATGTGGAATACCTTGCTTACTGATTCAAAGGTGGAACGGGACTTCCCTGGTGGCGCAGTGGTTAAGAATCCACCTGCCAATGCAGGGGACATGGGTTCGAGCCCTGGTCCTGGAAGATTCCACATGCCGTGGAGCAACTAAGCCCTTGCACCACAACTACTAAGCCTGCCCTCTAGGGCCTGCGAGCCACAACTACTGAAGCCCACGTGCCTAGAGGCCGTGCTCTGCAACAAGAGAAGCTACCGCAATAAGCCCGCGCACCGCAACCAAGAGTAGCCCCTGCTCACCACAACTAGAGAAAGCCCGCACACAGCACTGAAGACCCAACGCAGCCAAAATAAATAAGTTTATTAAAAAAAATCTTCTCCTTAAGATCCTTTCATCCCTAGAGTGATGGAATGAGGGTGAAAGGGAGTTTGAATGGCTTAATGGTGAAAGCCATAAAACAGGGGTAGACGACCTTAATACAGATGTAGTGACAAGTTAGGAGAATGCCAGCCTTTATTTCTGGTTCAGGATATTGAAGATGGGGGGAGAAGGAAGAACTCCATTTGAAAGGGCTTCAAGGGAAGCAGTGAACTTAAGGAAAATATTAGATTTTAGACTAGATTAAAAGGTGACAGCAGTGCTCTAGGAAAAGGTTAGATGTGTAAGGATGTTTCTTTGAATTAGCATGGGTTTGCTTATAAAAAAGCTAAAACTTTATTCTGTTAGCATCTGGGAGCCTCCCAAGTTTTATGCAGGGGACTGACAAGTGCTTTGAAGTTCAGAAAACTCACCCTGACAGTAGTGGCAGTATGGTAGATGTACTGGCAAGGAGTATAGAGAGGTTCCTTTGGAGAAAAACTGTTGGTATAAAGGTCCATCTCACACAGGTGATGAGGCCTCATCATCAGCCTACTAAAACAATGGGGTCAGCTATCTAGGAAGTAGAGACTAGAGAACTGAATGGACAGTGGGGGAGAGTAAGGGACAGTGGACAAGGCAGTGGCCAGATCTTTTACCTTTCTGAACCTGTTCTAGATTGTTCCAAGCACTTCTAATCCTCTATTGAGCCTGGATATGTAATTGTCAGTTATCTCCAGTTTACTTTCCTTCTTTCTTTTCTGTCCCCCAAATCCACTTATTTTGATCTACTATTTGATATTCTACTTGTATATTTTTAAAAAATTTTGGTCTTGCTATTCCCTTTTAGTACACCTTCTGGCTATACCAGTGTGGTAATAAAACTTTCTGATGGTAAGAATCTAACGGCAGTGTGATACAGTGGAAAGAGCAGCAGCCTATAAGTCAAAAGGGCTGCTTCCCAGTCCCAATCCTGCCATGAAATTCTTGTATGACTTTGGTTAACTCATTTCTTCTTTGGACCTCACTTTTTTTAATTTAGAAAATGAATCTCTAAGGTCTTATCCATTTCAATTTGCCTACCTGTACAATACCATAGGAGCTATTTTCAGATATTTTCATGATAATGGTGAAATCCACCTTCTCCAACAGAGTACTACAAAATTAGAATGGTGGATGGTAGGCATCTTGAAGTTTGTTCCAAGAAACCTGCTTAATCTGCTTTGTGAATAGAGGAATAAAGTTTTAGATAGGTACTATATTCCAATGCATTTTCTCAGACCAGAGGTAGAGGAGAGTGGTTCTTACTTTATTTACCATACATTTCCTGGAGTCAAAGTGCCTTCACTTGAATTCATGGCTCTGCTACTTACTAGCTTGTTACACTGGGCAAACTACTTGAAATCTCTGTGCCTTAGTTTCTTCATCCATAAAATAGGGGTCATAATATATCTCATAAGGCTATTGTGGAGATTAAACAAGTTTATTAGGTGTGTAAAAGCATCTGGAACAGAGAAAGCCGTCGATAAGTATTAGCTATTATTCTTATGTGCTAGGCACAAGAGTGTACAGGCTCTTGTCCCTCCTTAAAGAGCTCACTGCCTGGTCAGAAATATTTTCAAGCAAATGACCATAACTCAGTGTTCTGAGTTCTGTAACAAGATGTATAATAAGTGGTGTAGGAGCAGAGGCAAGAATGCCTGTCTCATCCCAGAGAGAAAGGCAGGGGCAGGACAATATTCTTGAGGGTAAAGTTTGAGTCTGATTCTTAAAGAAGAGAATTCAATGTTGGGAACATTTGGGAATATGGAGCAGTAACCGACAGCATGGGGAAGGCAGTTTCTTGCTGCAAAAGACAAATATGGTTCCAAGGAAAGGGAGGATGTGTGGTAGATCAGAGGTAGTAGTTGATGCCAGAGCATCAGCAGTTGAGAGCTTGATAGAAATACAGGCTCTTAGGCGCTACCCAGACCTACTCAATTAAAATTTGTATTTTAACAAGATACTCAGGTGATTCTTTGAACACTGAAATTTAAGAACCACTAGTCCAGAGCACACACTGGAGCCAAGCTGCTTAGGTTTCAATCCTGGCTTTACCATTTACTTATTATCATTATTTGGTCGTGTCACTACAGCATGGGGGATCTTAGTTTCTCGACCAGGGATGGAACCCATGCCCCCTGCAGCGGAAGCAAGGAGTCTTAACCACTGGATCACCAGGGAAGTCCCACCACTTACTTATTTACTTATTTAAACATCTTTATTGGAGTATAACCACCATTTACTTATAATGTGTAACTTTAGGCAAGCTATTTCACCTCCTTCCTATGCCTCAGTTTCCTCATTTGTAATTAGATAATAGTTTCTACCTCATAAAGTTGTTTTAAGGATGGAATAAATATTTTAAATGCTTAGAACAGTACTTGGCACCTACCAAGGCCAAGCATAAGCGGAAGGACTATAAGATATTCGGGGGACTACAAGAAGAGAATTCAGCCAAACCTATAGGACTTGGGTGAATTCCAGTCGAAGATCTGGAGTTATAAAGCCCAACTCCCTTCAATTGGGTGAGTTCTTGAATATCTGTTTTTCTCACTCCTAGTAGGGGGTAATCTTAATTATACCTGCCTCACTAAGATACTCAAATCAAAAAATATATGTTCAACTACAAAATCTTCTATTAAAGTTTCATTTATCATCTTTCCAAGAGTTAAGTATCTGGCCAGAAAGCGGTGGTACCTCAATTCAGTAGAAAATAGATGGAAAAGAATGCATTGGAAGATCAGGGAGGGAGTGGTGGGAAAGCCGGGAGACTATTTGTCCCACTTCCTGACTTTCTGAAGGGGCAGACTTGGGTTTCAACAATAATTTTCCTGGGCCTCAGAGAGGATTTTTAGCTAATGGGCAAATAGTACACAAATGCCGTTATTTATTTTTTCTTCCTAACCTAACCTACAATGGAGATTCAAGAACATGAACAATCTCACACGTTTGTATAGTGGTCCAAAATTTACAAATAACTTTTCTCTACTTTGTGTATCACAACATCCCTATAGGGTAATATTAACCTAACATTTTATAAGAAAACTTTGTTAATATCATAAAGCACATTAAAAACTCCTTTCCATTTGAGTATTTTTACCATATCCGATGTCTCCCAAAGTACAAAATTTAAAAGGGAGAGCAATCACAAAACTTGATTGGATCTTCAACAGTAGCAGTTACTGGCTTCGATCTTATGGCCGCGATTATTTGTATATTGGGCCCCTTTTCTCATCCGTAAAACAGGGGCAACAATACCCTCTTCACACAACTGTTTTGTGATTAAACACGAACAAAGGCTGAAGGATGAACCTACCACGTCGCAGGGCCTCAAACACACCCCTTCTCCTTCTTGCCTTTGACAGATATAGCACTATCATTCCTACTTCACACGCGGAGAAACCCAAAGTCGAGAACGCTCGGGTTCCTCTTCTCTACTTGCAACTCCGCAACCCCCAGATCGGGTACGCGCAACTGCGACGTCCACTGTGTCAGGTGTCGTAGCGTGTATTCTCTCTCCTCGAGCTGCGTCTGACGGGGCTGGAGGCCGCTGATAATTGCTCCCAAGACTCTTGAGGAATCCGATCCTAATCCTCAATGGCGCTTCAGGGACTAACGTGCTTTCCCACCGTTCCTCACCCCCGCCCCCGGCCCCCAGAATAAAGGTCGCGGGGAACCTTCAGCTCCAGCTACCAACGCCATCTTGATCACTACGTGTGACGCCGCACGTAGCGGAGAGCGCAGCCCATTGGCTGGGAGGCTGCAGGCAGAGGCGAGGCGCGCGAAGCCGGAGAGGAAGGTGTGGAGGGCAAGCCAAGGAAACTACAATCCCAGCCTTCCTTGCGCGTGCACACCAAGAGCGAAAGAGGAGGGAGTTTGGGTTCGGACCACAACTCCCAGCACCCCTCGCGATGTCTCTCCTTTCCTTTCAAAACGTGCAGGAAAAGAGGGACAGAAGAATGGAGGCCTTCTGGTGTCCGTTCTCCGAAAGGCGGGAAAGGCGAACTACACCTCCCGACTGGCAGCGCGCGGCTGCGCCTGCGCCTTGATACCTGTCGCCATCTTGCCCCTTCTGAGGCACAGCAAACAAACCCAATTCCTGGTGTCCCCTAGTCTTGGCGGAGGAGCCTTTTAGATGAGCCCAGAAAGGCCGGGCAGGTGGGTGATTCTTAGACAGGGTGCTGGGAAGAACTGGCAGGATAGCCAGTCTGGAAGAGCGCCGGGCCAAGCATTCGGAGCCCGGCTTGGGGCGCCCAACCCCATCCTCCGTTGTCTCCTAACGGGATCGTGGGGCTCCCGAGGTGGGCTGAGGGGGACTCTGGCAGGCCTGGTACTGAGATTGCTGGGGTCCAGCTCTGGGGGCCTCCCAGTGAGTCTCGGTCGTCTGCCTGGCTGTCCGAGCGTCTACTCTTTCTCTCCGTTGTCCTCTCCGCTGAGGAGGGAGAGAAGCGCTGATGCCTGCCGGAGCCCCTGACTCCGGCTACTGGTCCTGAGAGGGCTTCGGTCGTGAGCTTGACATTGGGGTGAGCGCTGAGCGGCACCGGTGAGGAGGGTGGGCGGGCTGCTCTTGTTGTGGTGCTGCGAGAGAGTGCGTGTTTGGGGAGGGGGCGGGGCGGGCTTGCCTCCTTGACACTTGAGTGGGGGAAGGATTAGACAGGATTCCGGTTCTCGGAGCGGGCTCCGGCAACCTCTGCCCAGGTTTCCAGTGCGATGCGGCCCCGCAATGGGGTCCGCCGGCGGGGACGCGTCGGGATGCTGTGACGTGGTGCTTGATTCCGGCTGCCGCCGGCCGCCTCCAAGATCCTGTCGGGAGGCGGGGACTGGCTTGTGGAGGGAGCGGATTCCTTTGGCTCTGCCCCTTCTTCCTCCCCACCCCTTTTCTTTATGTCATTCTGCCGGCTGGGGCGCGCACTCCAGTTCTCCTTGCTCTGGGTTGGTTCTTAGATGAGAGGACTATGGGAAGTAGGGGGAGGGGGCTCAACTTCAGGCGTGGAGTTGGAGTTAGCAGTCCCAGCTCTTGGAACGGGAGATAGCAGTTATTACGGGTCGATGCCTGACTCCTAGACGAGACACTGAGCTCGCTTATTCATACGTTCACTCGCTCATTCATTCATTCATCCATATTACTTGCTCTTCTCAGTCATTCATCTGTTTATTTAACAGATATTTACAGCGGATCTGCTGTGTGCTAAGCAGGTATAGTGCAAGGGCCCAGAGCTGTTGTCTTTTTCTCTAGACCAGGGAATTCCCAGTACCAAGTTCCTGACATCTAAACTTTTGGTAAATGTTTTTTTGAGGACTGCTGGGTGTAAATTCATGTTTCATTGTTAAGACTCGAGGAGAAAGTACTATATTAAGTTCCATTAACCCACTTAACGTCCTAGGAACTTTACGTATTTTATTTCATGTAGCTCATAATGAGAAAGCCGGCAGAAGTCAAGTGACTTGCCCAAGGTTACACAGGTAGTGGCATCTATTTATGAAATAATGTGTCAGCCACTAGGATAAGAACTTCACATACACTGTTATTTAATCCTCATAACAAACTGATTCATAAAATCTCTGTTTCACAGATGTGTAAAGTTTATGTTCAGATAGGCCAATCTACCCAGGATCACACAGCCAGTAAGTTGAAAGATTGAATTAGAACCTATATGTGTCCAACGCCTATGCTCTTTCCACTATGATAGGCTGGAATAGTAAGCTCGCATATGGTTAAATTCTTCATTTGTCAGAAGTTGGAAAGCATGGAGGTGAAATAGGATTGTGAGATATTCTTACTGGTTTTGCTTCTTAGCGTGTGGATCTCCACGTGAGTGGGCTTTTGAATGTACTTTTGTAATTTGAGTTTTTGGTTTTTGTTTTGGTAGGGAAGACAAGCTCTTTGGGGCTACCAAAAAGAAGCAGCAATGCCTGTTGTGTGGCCAACGCTTTTGGATCTCAGCAGGGATGAATGCAAAAGGATTCTTCGAAAATTGGGTATGATTTTCATTTTTGATGTTTCATGCCTCCCTGTGATCCTTTTCCCTTTCTGTTTGGGTCATGGCTGTTTGCATGGATATCATATTTCATGATGGTTAGAAATTCTTTAGAGGTATAGTTCTTGTCTTACTCTGTTACTTCTCTACTGCTTTGTATAGTGCTTTGTACACAGTAGATGCATGAATCATATTAATAATAATAGCAGCTAAAAGTTCTTCAGGGCTACTGGGCTATTCTGAGTCCTTTACATTCAGCACCTCATTTAATCCTCATTCAAACCAAAAAGATAGGTATGTTTCTTCTTTTGTCCCCGTTTTACAGATGACAGACCTGAAGCTTAGAACCCGAAGTAATGCTGATAGTAAGTCATGGGGTCAGAATTTCAACCCAGGGAATAGGATTCCAGTCTCATGTTAACATACTTTTAACCTTCATGAATGTATGTGTGAATTACATACTGTTTCTGAATTCTAAGTTAATGTAAGCTATGCTGACTTTAACAAATTATATTTTACTTTCAGTAATAAAACACCATTTACGCCTGTAATGAATTATTTAGTGCTTCTTTTCCTTTAGAGCAGCCTTTCTCAACTAGCATTTAGGGAGAGAATTAAGCCCTAATACTAAGTTATCCATTGTATGTAATGAACTAACTTTTTTCATGCATCTAGAATGGTATGTATTATCCTTGGGAAAATTGAGAAGAAAAGAGTTATTCAAATCATTTTCTTTATTCTGTGGTTTACATGAGTATCCTTGGTTGAGAAATGCAGCCTTAGACTGTAAGGTCCAAGAAGGAACCTTTTTGTCTTATTTACCACTGTAGTCTCAGGCCAGCACATAGTAGGGACTCAGTAAATGAAAAAGTAATTTGAAAAAGAATATTAGATGTTTTGGCAGTGGATAGGAATTATTTAGATATCTCTGACTTTGAAAGGGAAAGTGTGGACCTTGAATTCAGATAGACCTGGGGTCTTGGTCCTGTTACTAATGACCGACATGATCCAAGGACAAGTTGTTTAATCTCCCTAAATTTATTGACACTTTTGTAAATGAAGGACAATAATATCTGCCTCATAAGTTTAAGTGGATTAAGTGTATATAAAAAGGGCCTATCACAGTGCCTGACACATGAGTATATAGCGTTTTAAAGCAGTTGCTTTCAGACATTTATTTATTTGCAGGTGAATCTTTTCTTCAAAGGAAATCTTTGTTGGGAATTCCTATGCATAAATCTGAATCATAGCAAATATGGCCCTGCCTGCTAATAACCTTTGCCCTTTTATTTCCCCTTAGGCCACTATGAGGATTTCTATATTTTAAACTACTTCTTAGCATTGTATTTTGGCACCTCTAGAGAGGTTTTTTGTTTTGTTTTGGGGTGGGTTGTTTTTTTTGGGGGTCAATTATTCTTTTTTTTTTTTAACCTTATATCCAAACTTTTAGTAATTCGAGGGTGATTTTCTACACACTTATATGCAATTGCTCTAACTTGCTAGCTACCGGTCATAAAGTTGGATTTTTATTTATTTCATAGCTGAAATAATTGCAGATCACAACTGAAGTTGACTGCATTAGAGTTTCTGGGCTTTTGGGACCTTGAATCAAGAGATTATGTTTGAATATAAAAATTGTAACCTTTAAGTCTAAATTTATCCTTAATTTTAGTCAGAGTTGTGTGGGTAATATTGCTGAAGAGCTGCTTCTATACAAAAGAAAACAGCCTTCCTAGAGGGTAACATCATCATCTTTTGGGAGGTGAGCCTTGAGAGTGATTTGCGGAAAGACTTCCTCCCCACCCGTTGGCTCATTATCATAACAGTGAAACCTTTGAATAGCTTTCAAACACTAGCTCTAGGTCCGAAGTTTAGAGAAGGTACTGCATTTAAAAATTAGCTTAAAATATTTTAAGAATTAGCTTTAAGGGGCTTCCCTGGCGGTGCAGTGGTTGAGAGTCCTCCTGCCGATGCAGGGGACATGGGTTCGTGCCCCGGTCCGGGAAGATCCCACATGCCGTGGAGCGGCTGGGCCCGTGAGCCATGGCCGCTGAGCCTGTGCGTCCGGAGCCTGTGCTCCGCAACGGGAGAGGCCACAACGGTGAGAGGCCCGCGTACCGCAAAAAAAAAAAAAAAGAATTCATTTTAAAACAATTCTTTTTAAAAATGTTATAAATTATTTTAACATCAGATGCTAAACATTACATTTTACTTAAGTGTAGAGAAATTGGGATAGAGAATTTCTTTATGATACACTGAACATACCAGTGATAGATAAATGCTTCCTTCCTTCTATCCTGCCTCTCCCCTGCCATATTTTTTTATGACCACTCCTGAACTGTAACTCTTACATGAGGCTTTATGAACTGTAGTATAATTGAATGGCTGGTTTTTTTAAATGGAACGGGTTGAGGGCTTTATAAAAATAGTTTGGCAAATCTTTTGTTTTCTGTGTTTTTTCGTGTGTTATTTTGTTATACTTATGCGTCATTAGAGTTAACACTGTAATAGAATGGTACCAAAAATAATACCAGAAATTCAACTGAGTTTGATATTTGTCAGAATCTTAGGATTCTCATCAAATGAAATCCACAAATGTGAATGAGGTTGGGAAGCTAGTAAAAGTTCTTTACAATGAGTGAGTTTCTCATTGAATGAAGGGAGGAGGTATGCATTGGATTGTGTAGCTATGAGAACTGTGTTCTGAGTTACAGTTTTGTGTGAGGTTGCCACCTCTTTTGTGCATGACTTTTTAGTTGGACTTGGAATGAGACTTGAGATGTCAAGAATCTTTGTCTTTCTTTAGTTAATTTCACTTTTTTTGAAATATTGTGAAATAGTGAAATTTTGATCATCATAAATTCCACAGGCCAAAAGTGAAGATTTTCCTCAAACCACTTCCTCTCTCTGACCTGTCCATTTCTTTTTATGGTATTGCCATTCTACTAAATATCTTGGAAACTGAAAAACCTGATTCTTTTCCTTCTGCCATTCCTTCCACATTTAATCAATCACTGAGTTCTATCAAAAACTTTTTAGACTGGAAATGGTGGCTTTTCTTAGTCTGGCCCCAAACAGTTTTTCCATTTTTATCCTTGTTGGATTTTAATCACCTTGAGGATAAGGACTTTGTTTTGTTCATATAAAGATTCTCCATGGTACCTCGTAGTAGTAGTGTTCAATTAGTAGTTTGGTTTGAATTAGCAACTAACCAAGTATGGACATATTTTTACTTTCCCTAGTGTAAAACTCTCAAAATAGTCACTATTACTGGAAGTTTAATGTCTCTGTGAAACATTATATGCTCTTTTACTCTCTCTGTTCCTTTTGCACATTTGCATTTCCCCCACTGCCTGCCTAGAGCACAGTTCTCTTTCTGATTAAAGCTTATGCTTCCAGACTAGATGATGTGTTTTTCTTCTGTGCCTTTACCACTGTATTAGAATTGTCTGATGACTTGTTTCACTGTAGCTTTATTCTAGAGTTAACTTCTTAAGGGCAGGATTTAGCATACTATCTGGTATATATAATAGGACTCAATACTGATTTGTTGAATAAAATATTCCATAAATGGGGCATAAACATTTAGATATAGTGGTTTCTTAGTTATCCCCAGTGTCTTTCTGAACTCTACTTTAGGTCCTAATAAAAGCTGAAATATGTGTTTCCTGGAACAAAGTATTTCCTTCACTACTCCAGAGAAGCAGAGTTTGGCCTTCCAGAGAGACCACATGAAACATCTACGTAATATCCAGCCTAGATTGAACATGCAGGATGTTTACACATGGGATAATTCAGTTGGACCAGACATTTCTATTTAAGCTCACTCTTCTATATAAAGTCTTTTCTTTTGATAGAACTGTGAATAATATGAACTGAATGAGGCTGCTGTTTTATTGTTGGTGTAGTACCTTGGATGCAGGTATGCATGCCTTAATTATTTGGCTAATATTCAGTATCTGTTGTATGTAAGGCGTTGGCAAATACGGTAGCAACTTGAATTGAGTAAGAAGTTAACTGTAGTCTGGACACTTATTTCCCATCATTTTGTTTTGCTCAGGTATACTTGTCTCATAGTGTTAATGGTTTGAAACAACTATTTTATTATTTCTCATGATTCTATGGGTTACTTGTCTTGCCTGAGCTCTCTCATGTGGCTCTATTCAGCTGGTAGCTTAGCTGGTTAATTGGGCTCAGCTGAGGTGGCTGGGCCTCTCTCTCCATGTGACCTTTCATCCTGGGCTTCTTCATAGCTTGGTGATCTCAAGCTTACAAGAGAGCAAGGTCCTGTGTCCAAGGTTGCTATTTGCCTCATGTATGCTGATGTTCCATTGGCCAAATCAAGTCACATGCCAAGCCCAGAGTCAGTGTGGGAGGGACTATTGGAAGGTGGTACACGAGGAAGTACACTGAGAGGCAGGCATGGTTCATTGGGAGCCATTGAGGGCTTTTTGGTTTTATATTTTAACCACTACTAGGGACTGACAGTTTCATTAAATAACAGTTGTTGCTGTGGAAAGTTAGTGAAATGAAACTGTCTGGCATTAGGGTTCAGTGTATTATGTCCTGATTGCTGTAAGAGCAATTCATGTGTGCTAATCTGCCTTAGTCATTTTGCTGGTGGTTTTTATAGATGCAGAGGATCATAGAAATGGAAGTTACCTTCAAAGTGTCTTCTAGATAAAGAAACTGAGGATCAGAGGTGAGAAAGGACTTGTCCAAAGTCACACAACTAGTGTCAGTGCTGGAGCCAGAATCTGGTCATTTGACTCTTGATCCAGTAGTTTTTCACTTGCACACTATTCACAGATAGAATATAGGTCAAATTCTTAGACAAGCCTAAGGAATTATTTCAAAGTTTGGCCAGTAAAGGTACCTATCAATAATGCTAAAAACTTCTCTCATCAGCCTTATTATATCATTTGGAACCTGTTCCCAGGTGTTGGTAGCATCTGAGTTGAATGTTCTTCAGGATGATGCATAAGACGAAATATTTACCATTAGATTTTTCTACCTAAACTTTTTATATACATGACTTCTGTGAGGCAGTAAAAAAGAAAATAAGATTATAAAAGCCACATTTTAACCTATGGTTTTAGATAAAATTTTTGAGAGGACATTAATGAAATATTTGCGTATTGGTTTTTAGGTTTCCTGCCCTGAAGTTTCACTCTATGTAGCCATAGTACTTAAATATTGATGGCCTATCTTGATAAAATAATTTTCTTCTTCTAGAATTGGAGGCATATGCTGGAGTTATCAGTGCACTTCGGGCACAGGGAGATCTCACCAAGGAAAAGAAAGATCTTCTTGGAGAACTCTCAAAAGTTCTTAGGTAAATTATCATAAAAGTTTGTGAGAGATGAGTCTAGAAATTTCATTTTGAGGTGTTTCAATACTTTTCACTCTTAAGGTGAAGACAGAGGTGTCAAGTTGTTGGTGTTTAGAGATCCCATCCCAGTTGTGTGCTTTGTTACAGAAAATTTTGTAATTTACCATTTATTATGTAATCTAATCAGAAAAGGTTTAAGGCAGGTTATCTTAGGTTTGGGCCGCTTGGAAAAGGGAGGTATTTTTGACCTGGGTGAAGGAAAGAAGAGCTGGCAGCGACTGGATAGGAAGATCTAGAGTGGCCCAGTGGCATTTGTTAGGGGGTAGAAGGAGACACTAGGAAGTTGTTGTCTTAATTTATAGAAATGGGTGGTGATTAATAGTCATAGCCTTAGGGATAGTTTATCCCTTCAGCTTCCCACTAGAGTTAAAAAAATTCATTAAAAAAATTCTGGTGAAAGGGATTCTTTGATACTTTGCCTTGATCCATTCTTAACATCTTACATCAGTAAATTCAGTTCTGTTTTAACTGAAGTTTCCTTTCTACATTTAAGACCATTTTGTCCTATTCTTTTTTTAAGTGAAAATAGGGAAGAGATTTTTTTCCTGCATTTAATTAACATTAAAATAGGGATGTTATTAAGCCAAATCATCAGTCTTATTGCCTCCATACTTAACAATTTATATTTTTTGTTTGTTGTTTACATTGCCTCGTAAATTTCTGCTTTCCAGCCCCTTAAATATTTTAGTCCGTGATATAGATTTAACTTAGCAATAAAGATTACACTTTTAAGGGTGCTATTCATTTTATTGAGTATTTATGAATGGAATGGGTATAGCCTTTTTTCAGTTGTTTAGATTTAACTTTACATGTATTTAATCAGGATCAACATAAGTACATTTTTACTATAGTGGTAACATGATACAATGTAGAATACACACAGCTCAAGTGTTGAGTAATAAAGGAGTAATATCCTAGTGTCAAGTTTCATAGCATATATCTACAGGAAACATTATCTTGCCACTTTCATTTCTTTATTATATTCACTAAACATAAAATTATAGACTCTTAAGCTTTAGAAAGGACTTTAGAAGACTTTCTTCCAAGTGCCAAAATCCTCTTCTCAGTAACCATGTTAGGGGTCATTCAGTGGCTTTTTACATTTAGATAACAGGAACCTCTGCTAATCTCGAACATGGTCTGATATTTCTGAGTTTTGGATGTAATGACTTGATATCAAGCTGAATTTGTCTTCCTGTGATTTCTAATTTGTAACTAATTCTCTCTGCAATTACACAGAATCATTCTGAATCCTTTTCTATGACTTTAATTAAAGCATTTGAAGATATATATTAGGCCCCTATCTATATCTTTTTACAAATCAATTTTGCCCCCCCCACAAGCAAAATGTTGACTTAAACATTAATAAAAGTATAGAAAAGAGCTGCCTGCTTGGCAGAGTTCTATAATGGCTATTTTTTTTCATAGCATCTCAACAGAGCGCCACCGTGCTGAAGTTCGGAGAGCAGTAAACGATGAACGGTTAACAACAATTGCACATAAGTAAGCCATTAGTCATACCACCCCTGATTTTTCATGACGTAGTATACCGTAGTTTTGAAAGTCTTCCTATTGTGTAGCAGATTCCTGAGTCTTTTATCTTGATAGTAATATCTCTGTACTCAGGGATCCTGACCATAGCTGTGTTAACTATTTATTCAATTGGTTATGTTTTTGCATTTGGTTAGGCAAGCTTTAAGTACTCAGGTCAAATCCTGTTGCAGTGTAATCTCTGTATAACTAAAGGCCTCCACAGTTTAGCAGATGATTCCTTTACTCGAAGCAAAGTTCAAGAAGAAAGTAGTGTGCTCCCCAAATTTGACAGCCCCTTAGAGTTACTTTGTAATAGTATTTGATATGTATATTGCTTTATAAATAGGCATTATAAATTTTTTAACTGACTAATATTTCATGTATTTTGAGATTCAGCAAAAAGATTGTAAAATATATGTTCTGCTTTTAAGAAATATGACTACAGTATACCTTAATTTACTTGGAAAAGCCAAAAAAATAAAATTGTAAAGGATTCTTATCAAACTGTTTTCAGATCATTATAACTATTTGATAGATGGGGTGGAGGGTGGTGGAAGACACAGACTGAGCATTAACAGTATGTATGGAGACAGTGCCTCCTGAAAAACAGAAAAGAACAGAAATTATCCTTTAAATGTTAATGCAAGATGGTAGGAACATTTTATAAAATAAGGTATGTTATAGAATATTCATCTGTTTTTTATTTTTATGTTTTAATGTGAAATAAAACTAAAGGAAAAAATTCAGTACATTTCCATAATGTAATAAATAATGCTTTTAACCCAATTGGCAGTATCGTATTGACCCTGAAGATCCATTAGCTTCATGTGGTGCTTTAATGTTACTGATTTTACTTGACTGATAAAATGGGGTGCTACCTTTTTAACTGTGTAGTTTGAAAGTTAAGCTGTTTGAATTTGGAGATTTTTCAGTGGTTGGTATGTATGCACTGTAGAAATTTGAAAATTTTCCTCTAGCATCCTTAAGTATTTACTTGTTAGGCCAACATGGCTAAAACATTCACATATTGTGTTCCTTCTTTAAATGCTCTAAACTTTTAAATTGGGATACTCTAAAAATAGTAACTGAGCCTAGATTCTAATTTGAGAACTTGTAATAGGAAACTTATGTGCTAGGTAATAAAGAAGTAGATAATAGTTTGCGTTCAGAGGCACTTAGAGACAAAATTAGTACCTTAAAAGCATTGGAACAGTATTGTGGGGCAGTTAGTTGTAAGTTGATGCATCAGTTTCATACTTAAAGATAACACTTATTTAGTCTCCTTTTCCTTTTTTCCCCTTTAAAGAATGAATTTATCCTTATATTTGGGTGAAAGACCAAGTTACAGGTATGCAAATAGGTTATTATTATTTCAGGCTTTTTCTTGTATTTATTTCAAAATTGAAGCTCTCAATTATTCAGGGGCACATATTCCATTTATGAATTAACTGTGCCCCTTGCTTTTACTTCTCTTCCCCTCCTCCCCTTCCTTCCTAATACTGCCCACCCTTTAGCTATTTTGCTGCTTGAAAGTACCTCTAGTCAGAGGGTGGGAAGGGAGAGGAGGTGAAAATTTTAATTACTCATTTTACTACTTGTTAGTTGTCCTGGGAGAGGTTTGATGGAAGAACTTACAAGTATTTGCCAAAGTATTTTTGGGTAATATGTTAGTTTCTTTGATCTGTTTGACCTCTCCCTTTCCCTCCTCTCTCTGTTAGCATGGATAATTGAGAGTTGGCTTCTATCTACCTGTTTCCTCTTTTTTTCTCTCCTTTCTGATTTCTTTAACACATAAATTTAATTTTTTGAAAACCGTTTACTTCAGTGTATAATTTTAAGCTACTTAGGTCTTTCTATACTCCTGTTTTAATATTTTATATTGTGGTTTTAGTTCGACCAGACGTCGTATTTACTTGTTGAGCCCAAGGGTCAATGAGTGGGGAATGGTGAGGAAGACATAGATCCCTCATTCTGTCCGTCTCCTCTGCCCTCTTTCCCTCAAAAGTAGTAACAGAACCTAGTTCTAAAGATTATCTATAGGAGGGCTTCAAACTCTGAGCCTGAAAAAAGTAACTTGAGCCAAGGAGGAATGCATCTGAACTGACTGCATTCCCTTTCTCCTCTCCCTTCCCTCCCCCACTCAAAACAGCAGCTTAGGCCAGAAGGAATGTGGTTGAAAGGTAAAGAGAAAGCCAAGAAGGTTGAGCACAAAGGAGATGGAAACAAAAGGAGTGGAGTGTCTGGGATCAAAGAAAAGCCTTGCTTGAACCATAACACGTGTTTATTATTTGGCATGAGACCATTTATTAAGTTTGATACTCTAATTCAGTTTTGAAACATGTCAGAATATTATAGTATTAAAGCCTGGAATGTCAAGGGGCTTCACAGTTTTTAATTGGGCCACTCTTGCCAGCATTGTATCTAAATAAAATGGCTATCCAGAATTACTATTCTCTTAACTCCTTTTCCATCAGCCAGACATTCATGGGATGCTGTTTAAGTTTCTGTGTGAGGATGAGGATTTCATGCTGGTGCGCTGCATACCAAAGGATGAGAGGGCCAAGGTAGTTCCACTAGTATCTTGTTAGACTTCTCAGAAAAGGGGCTGGAGCCAGGTTTCCACCCTCCCTTGCTATATTTAGTATAAATAGAGAGGAGTTCTTTGAAATTTAGGAATCTCAGGAAAGCCCTGGAATAAGATGTTTACAGAAACCTGTAAAATTCTATCTAGATGATTTGTGCAACTAATGCATATATACACCCTCATTAGTAAGCAAAATAGGAATTTTGATCTAATTCTAACATGATGTTTAATTTTTCATTCACTTAAAAAAAGTTTGAATGTGTTTGCCTGAGTAGAAATTTGGAAGATTTATAGATCTTTCTAAAAGTTGCAGTTGTATCTTTTGCACTGCAAATTCTGTCCTTTCAATAGCATATATATTCATGTATTTTAAATTATTAATCTTCCATAATTTCTGCCACCATTTAACAATGTACCAGGTAAGTGTAGACATCACTTTATTTGTATGGTAAACTCTCACCAAGCAAATTTAGTAGTGATATTCTAATAAAATGATAGCAAACTAGGAGTAAGCCAAGAAAATGCTGAATAGCTTTTAGAATTTTTTCCTTTGACAATTAGCAATAGGTCTGTTTCTGTCTCTCTTTCTTGTTTGTACGAATTTTGTTTCAGAACTAGCATCAATTGGAGATTGTGTGATAACAAATTTGTGAGGGTTATTGGGGTAAGAATCCCTCTTTCCCATGTCTTAGGTAGGACTATGTTATACCATGAAGGAATTTGCAGATTTCCCACTGTAACTCTATTGAATTCATCAACTCCTAGAAATTCCTTTCTTGACTGAGTGTAAATTCTTCTCAAGTTGTAAAGTAATTTATTTGTTCCATTCAGTGAAAGTTACTAGTGATTAGACAGCAGTGCCCACTTAGTATAATTCAAAGGCAAAAGTTAGACAAAACACATCTGAAAATTTTTATACCTTCCACTTGTGATGTGGCAGTTGTTTTCAGTAGCATGATGTATGCTTGTTGAAGGAGACATTTAGTAGCTGTGTGACCATAAGCAAGTTATTTAACCTCTTGGTAATTCAGTTTTCCCATCTTAAAAATGGAGATAATTATATTACCAATTTCATAAGATTGAAAGAATTGTATGAGTTAATACATGTAAAATGTTTAGAACAATGCCCTACATATACTAAGTGCTAATTGATGTTAATTTTCATCATTACCATCATCATCATTATTCCACTATCCACTAACAAGGGCTTTTGTGTACTCTATCTAAATTTGAAGAATCAGTGGACCTACAGAATCTCAAACTCTAGGTTGGGTTGTAGAATCTTTGGTTTTGAAAAAGATGCAGAAATACTTCTGACTTAGTGAAGAGGTTGATTGATTGATTGATTCTGGGTGAATTTTAAACCTCGACACTAATCATTAGTCAGGAAAAATGATACCACTACCTTTTGTGGAGCCAAGCCAAGGGAAGTGAACAACTGTCTTTTCATATTTCAACCTCTGTTTGGATTCCTAGGATAAAATTTGCTCAAGAAATTGAGTAAAACTGATAATAATGTCTGCTTAGGGGTAGAGTTCAATTGCCTCAAACATTCCTTAGAGTGAAGAATGGTATAAATAAGTAAAATTAAAGTAGTGGCAGGTTTCTTGCAGTGTCCTCACATCTAGTATACTTTTTTTAACAGGAAGGTTAGTAATATAACACACTGTCAGTGACACATGCAGTGATATATACAGCTCCCTTCTATCCCCCAGTACCTAGTCTCCCTCGTTTACTGCCTCAGTTTCCCTTGTTTGAAAGCCTTAGAACCTCTGGCCATGCAGGCAGTTAGGATAATTTTACAAAAGTTCAATGAATTCCACCCTTAATTATTCAGGAAAATCTGATTTTTGAAATAATGAGTACTTTTTACCTTTTTAGCTTAATTATAACATTAAGTTCTAAAAGTTAGTAGAAATACTAGTTTTCGTTAGCAATACCAGATTTAAACTAATGAAAATAATGTTGATATTTATTTAAAAGGCATGGGACAGTTTTTCATAGTTTCAATTATGTTCATTATAAGATTCAGATTATGGAATAAAATGTGTAAAAATCTAAGTGTGTGTGAAATTCCTTGAATTCTGATTATTATTCATAATTTTGATCTTGCTTGCTTAAAATAAAGCCTCTCCTGTTCACTCAGGGCACTTTTTCTAATTTAAAAAGTTATATTTGAGTGTATATATTTGCTTCATTTTTAGCAATTGAGAACTCTTGTAGCAGTGTTTTCTTTTTTGTTTAGTATGTCTGGACCTAATAGCTCTTCAGAATGGTCCATTGAAGGTCGTCGATTGGTACCCCTGATGCCTCGGCTGGTTCCCCAAACTGCCTTCACTGTAACAGCTAATGCTGTTGCCAATGCAGCTATCCAGCACAATGCATCTCTTCCAGTGCCTGCAGAAACAGGAAGCAAGGAAGGTGAGTAGAGAAATAGTTCTGTGTGTAGAAATGACTTTTCTCAGATTCTTCAAGAAAAGTTGTCTTATTTTTCATCTGTTTTTGTCCAGTGTTTAAAAGTTGTGAAACATAATGAGCAACACTTGTTCTGAAACGAGAAACTGCCAAGTTTTTAGTCTCAGCCAAAATTAAATATCCCTTTTGTTCAAAGTGTGGATTATATTAATCACAAAATTGCCAAAAGCCTTCTTGGAATGAATTTTTTCATATGAGCGTGTCTTGTTAGAAGTGGATAAGAGGCCTTAACAGGTGACATGGAAAATTAATAAGATGATAGAAGTCATTTATCTGCTGAAGAAAGATGCTGAACTGATTCTTTAGAAAATAAAGCTCTGTTTTTGTCTTCTGGAATCAGTGGTATATGCTGCTTCTCTGTTCCAGTCAATGTGCTGAATCTGTTAGGGGTTACGTGGCCGATGGGGATGGCTTTCTTATTGTTATTTAATCTAATAATTGATACATGCTTTAAAAATCCTTGGAGTCTCCTGAGGTCACCAAGAGTAATATTAAATTTGAGAGCGCATGTTTGGGTTGACTTCGGTAGCTTAGTTTGGTGTTACATGAAAATGACCCTGAAAATAATGCAGTTGTCAGATTACTTTGCAGAATTGTCTTTTCTTGACTAGCAATGGGTTGTGGAGCAGAAGAGACATTCCTTTCATACGTGCCAGACTCTGTTTTACACGGAAGGAAGCTATATTTAGGGAGAGACAGTTATCAGTGTGCAAACTTGGCCTCCACTGAGTTCCTGTTTTCTTTGTTGCAGGAGAGCTATCTTTCTTCTCTTCCGACTTTTGTCTTTTCTGTTTACCACCTCTCTGGTTCACTGGAAAGAATATAGAATTTTCAATAGTCTAATCTATGTTTGAATCCTAGTTTGCCATTTCTTTGCTTTGTGACCTCCAGCAAGTCTTTTTAGCTTCTGTGAGCCTTGGGTTCCTCATCTTTAAAATGAGGATGTAGTGTTGTGAGAATTAGTGATAATATATGGAAAGGATTTAGCATAATGTATGGTACTCAGTAAATAGTGCCTATGAGCTACTTCTGCTTGTTGTTATTCAATAAATTGAAATATGATGTTGTCATTACCTTAGTTATTATTGCACTGCTTAGATGGCAAGTGACTAGTGAGTTGTTTATGATAAAAGAAACTTACCTTGTTTCTCTCCAGGAGCCAAGTTGGAAATTGCTATGGTTAGGGAAAAATTATCCATCACTCCATCACTGATGCTGCTATTAGTATTAAAAAAGAATACAAGTATATGCTTTTTGTCCAACTCCTGCCATGAAGGAAAAATGATTTTCATTTTTCTCAGTTTTAAACTTGGTTTCTTTGTAACTGTCCTCTTCTCCATTGTCAGTGTCACCTGTAGACAGCTGCGAAATACTTGGGGGAAACCTAGTTAAGTGATGATTTTCAGGAAAGCTTATTAATACGTTTTAACCTAGTACTGGCCTCTAACTTCTGATTATATAAAAGTGTTAAAATTGGCCTGCAGAAAAAAAATAATTTTACTGTATGCATGGACAGTTTTGGTGAAAGTTAACAGCAGACTTTTTTATCGTTCCTTCAGTAGTGGTTTGCTATTCCTACACAAGTACCACGTCAACCCCAACCTCTACCCCTGTTCCAAGTGGCAGCATAGCAACGGTTAAGTCTCCAAGACCTGCCAGTCCTGCCTCCAATGTAGTTGTCTTGCCAAGTGGAAGTACTGTTTATGTCAAAAGTAAGTGATACTCTCGGTGTTATCAGGGCCATCTTGACTAAAAGCTGCAGCATAGGCTCTGATTAGATCTGCCTTCCTGATTAATTCATTGGTCCACTGGCTATTAGCAGTGGTTAGTTTTTGAAGGTTGTAAAGAATTCCTTTCTTTACATGTAACTAGGTATATATTGCTTTTTAATCAGTTCTGGGGGTTGAGAAATTACTTCTTTTTTGTTTTCTGTGGGGAATCTGCCTTGAACAGTGCTATACTCTAAGATTCACTTGTTTTGGTTTTCATGGAATAGAAATGTGAATAGAAACTAAAGGAATGTGCTTATGTCATTTATGTAGTGTTTACTCCTATAATGTAATCTTTGTAGTGTTTTAAAAAATTATTTTTGTACCATATCATTCAACTGTTAAATTCAGTGAAGCATTCTAGAGAGTCCTTTCATATTTCTAGTTGACTGTAATTTTTTGAAATTTATTTGCAATTTTTAACCCCTTTGATTCTACGCTGTGAAGCAGTTTAATGTCCAGTTCATTTTTTTTTTTTAATGTCTGTTATGTCAGTATTGATTTGCTTTTGGTATCAACTGGAGATCATTAATATTTGACTTTCATTTTTCTCAGTATAGTTATAAACTTGATTTCTTTGTAGCTTTTAGAGATGGACTTAGCTGTTTTAGACAAATGATTTTAGGTCATTTTCAGTCTTGCTTAGGGTTTAAAAATTGAGGGTATAAGGAGTTATGTTTTATTACCAATTCCATGAGTCATTTTTTAAATGTCTGCTTTATAGAGATTTCCTATGTATATTGCAAGGTTTTATGTTTCTCACTTGATTTTTTAAAAAAGTACAAAAACAGTTGAGGCTTTAGTGCATTAAGAAAAAACTAAGAATCTGGGAATATTAAGTTTATATCAGATTTCTGTGGATTTAGCCAAGATGATCTTTTAAAATAACCATAGAGGTCTATTTTTTAATTGTTTTTTTAAATGTTGAAAGTGAATTCCAAACATGAAGAAACCATTTCACACAATATATAGTTTGAAGTAACAGGAAGTTTATTGTTTCATTCTCAGAAGTCACACAGGCAACATTAGTTTGAGATATAATTATACATTCACCTAACTTCATATGTGCAAGACACTATACCAGGGAAACAAACCGATAAGACTTAGTCATTGTCCTTTGGGAGCCCCTTAATAACAGGAGATGTGCAGACTGACAGCCACATTACCATGGGGTAAGTGATACAGAAGAGAATGTACAAAGTGCTTTATAAGCTCAGAGGAGACATGAATTCGCTTTGCTTAGAGGAGTAAGGGAAAGCTTCACCGAGGAGATGGCTTGCAGGATCATGATTGCTGGATGATGAAGAGGTCATTGAATGTATGTGGTGTTCCCCAAAGAACAGTAGTATATAGAGACTCCAGATGGATAGAATATGTGATAAGGTGGCTTTGGGGAATGGTGAGCAGTTTAGTGTGCCAGGATAAGGTGGGTGGAATAGGGTATTGTGTTCTTAGAAAGATATGGGACCTTGAATGATAAAGAAATGATTTTTGTGCCTCATCTTGTAGGGAGATAAAAACTACTAAAGGATTTGAGGCAGGGCATTGGCTTTATTAGATGTGTGAGATTTTTATAGCTGGTAGTAGGATGAAGGGTAGAATGGAAGTGGAGAGATTAGAAGCACGTACACCTTTTAGGAGGTTGTCGCTAAAATACAGGCAGAAGATAAGAAGGCCTGACATGGCCATAGGGTTAAAGAAAAAAGGGAAGGCATTCAGAGACAGCTTCCCTGAGGGAGGATTGATAGAACTTACTGTCTGATTGGGCATGAGTCAAAGGGAGAGGTCAAGGATGACTGATGATGCAATGATTTAAAAATAAAGTATAAAATACAAGGTTATATTGCTATAAATGTAGCAATATTGTCACTGCCTTACAGGTGTTAGCTGTTCAGATGAAGATGAAAAACCCAGAAAACGAAGGCGAACAAACTCTTCTAGCTCCTCCCCCGTTGTCCTAAAGGAAGTTCCAAAGGCTGTTGTTCCGGTCTCAAAGACGATCACTGTACCTGTGAGTGGCAGTCCTAAGATGAGCAACATCATGCAGAGCATTGCCAACTCCTTACCACCCCACATGTCTCCTGTGAAAATAACCTTCACCAAGCCATCAACACAGACAACAAACACAACAACACAGAAGGTACGTGGTGGAGGGAGTCTGTCTGCCAATTGCTGTTTTTATCTCTTTCAGTCAATATGATTCAGATTTAACAAACATGCACTGAGTGCTTACTATGTGCTTGGCATTATGGTGGGAATGTTCACATCTCTTTCTTTAATTCTGCACATAAAGCTTTGGGTTAGGTATTATTATTTCACTTTTTGTGTATATTTTTGTATATGAGGCTCAGAGATGCCAAATGACTTGCCTAATATGACACAGCTAGCAGATCTTCTAAGACTTTCATTATATTTTACCATTGTGATTCCATTTGGGAAATAATTAAAATATAAAGGATTCTTTCAGCCTGTATTTGGATAACTTTACCTTTAGGAACTTAGTTCTTATATTGCCAGAGTAATGAAGTTGTCAGAGTTAGGTGTTTCATAGATGAAAGGAAGGATATGATTAAGTGAATAATTGTTATCTTCTTTTTAATTCTTAAATGCTATCATTAATTCATTTCTAAACTCTTCTGTCAGTATGTTCAAATCATCAGTATTCTGTCAATTTTGTTATTAGAGCCCTCTACTTGCCACACTGATCTGGATGCTGATGGTACCCTAGGCTTGTTATATACCTCTGTGTCCGAGATCTCCCTTCACTTTCATTCTGATCTTCCTCTTTCTTGGTTTATTTACTGATTTACTGGAGCATATCTTCCAGTAGCTTCTTGGTATATGGGTGGGATGGAAAGTAAAGTTTTTAAGACCTTGTATGGTAGACTGAAAATTTCTTTATTCTACCCTCCTACTGTTTTGATGTAAGTTTAACTAGGTAAGTATTCTAGGTGAGAAGTCATTTTCCTTGAGAATTTTGAAGGTATTGCTTCATGGGCTGTTGGCTTCCAGTATTGCTTTTGAGAAGCCCAGTAATGCCATTCTAATTCCAGATCCTCTTTTTCTCTTGGGAGAAGTCAGAGTTCTGAAAGTTCAAGGTAATTTTCCTTGGTGTGGGTCTTTATTTTATCCATTGGGTTACATACTCAGTGGCCCCTGTTATTCTAGAATAACACTCATAGAATAACACTCATATCCTTCCATTCTGGGAAATTTCTTGAATTATTTCTTTGATTTTTCTCTGTCCTCTCTTTTTGGATCACCTGTTATTCTGGATGTTGAATGACTAGATTGATCCTTTAATTTTTCAGTCTTTCTCACTCCCAATTTCCATTTGTTTGCTTTTTCTACTGTAGTATAGTAGTTAAAAGCCTGGATTTTAGAACTAGACTTCCTGAATTTGAATCCCATTTTATGCTACTTACTAGCTATGTGACTTTGGGAAAACTAAACTCTAGACCTAAGTTTTTCTCTTGTAAAATAGGGAAAATAATATATCTATTTTATAGGGTTTTGGGGTGTAAATAAATGAGATAATAAATACAAACCAGTAGAACAGAGCCTAGCACATAGTAAATGCTCTGTAAGTATTATTTTCTTTATCTTTTAACTTTATCCTTCATTACTTCTCTGGAATTTTTCATTTTTGCTATCCTATTTTAAATTTCTAGTAACTCTGTCTGGTTTTCTGAAAGTTTCTTTCTTTCTTTTTTTTTAAAATAGTATCCTGCTCTTTCATAGTCACTATGTTCTCTTTTCTGATGATATTCATGATAATTTTTTTTGATGTTTTCTTCTTTCATGTTTTCTCTCTTACCTGTAAATTTCTTTTATTTTTTCATTTTATCTCTTCCATTTCAGTTTCCTTAAATGCTGGTTGTGGAAACGGACACTAAAAGCTGACAGAAGGCTCTGTGTGTAGGGTGGGACATGCTGACTTTCATTGTAGGTTGAGCTAGCTGGGCTGTTTTGTTGATGAACACCCGCCACCCCTTTACCTCCACCAGTTGTCATTCTCATTAGGGCTTTTTCATGGACTGGACAGTTTGCTCAGAGAAGAATCTTCCAGTCTTTTGCCTACAGTAGTAAGCCTGTCTGCTAGTATTTTGGGAGTAAAGGCAAGGAGTGGGCTGGATAGTCTCATCATTCAGTATATAGACTTTACCTAACCTCTCTGTTTTCAGCATAGCACCTACCTGCCTCTGCCTGGTATCATCAGATTCCTTTGGATTCAATCTCTCCCTCAAGAGAATAAGTTTTAAGTCTTCCTTGAGGATAAGGGAGGATAGCTGGGGATCTTAATGCTGCTTAAACAGATTTTCAACTAATTTACATCTTTTTAGTCCCACTTTTATCCCCACTTCAGAAGTATCTGGTGTTCTCAAATTACTGAGTCTTTCTGTGGTTCTCTGAAAGCTGTCTTGTTTTTTCTTCTGTTTGCTGTCTTAGGTTTCCACTTTCTTGAATATGCTTGATCAGTTACTACTTGTCTGTTTGTTTTCCACTTTCCAGAAGTTGATAGCTATTGTCTCCTTTCCATTTTGACCTTATGGGTTTATGTGCCTCTTCTAAAAAATCCCTTCATACTGTTTTAGAGGGATTTTGGGGAAGGAGTAGAGATGAATTCTTGTTTTCAATAGACGGTCTTTCCTACTTTTAAATCTTCAGGTTCATGATAATTTTCATTTAAAGAAACTCCTTGAGTTTCTTGGAAATATGTCATTATATAATATATAAAAAAATTACAATTTTCTTAACAAACTAGAAATGACAGTGAGTTGATCTGTGTAATATAATTCTAGCTTCAGTCTTAGGATGAGGCATTATAGTTTAGTGTTAAAATCAAGTAAGAATTTTTTTAGTCAAAGAGGCCTGGATTAGAACCTCAGTTCTTCCAGTATGACCTGAGATAAATTAGTCTTTCTAAATCTGTTTACCCATCTGTGAGATGAGAGTAATGCCAATTTTATAAGGCTGTCGTGAGGATTAAATGGGATTGGGTATTTTAAAGTACAGCATGATGTATGTACTCAGAAAATGTTAGGTCCCTTCCCTTGGAGGTATTTTATGGAAAGCAGTGTTACCTAACTTTATGAACTTTCCAGTCTTCTTTGGTAGACCTATATAAAAATATTTTAATAGAAGGGGTAAACCTATAAGTGAAGTCAGTGAACTTTAAAAATAAAAATTAATTGCAGTGTTGAGAATGTGCTGTTCCAAATAATGAATTTATCAGTTCACTGAAGCTTACCCCTTAATATATAGAAATTGACTATTTTTGGTGATTTCTTAAATGTTACACTGAACATAATTTTTGTATTTAATGGCTCCAAGGTAATCTTTCTGAATATCAATTTTTATATATTATTATAATATTGCTTTCTGGGCAAGCTGTATATTAGGTGTCTTCAGCCTGCTATACTCTAAGAATTTTTAAATCTACTTTTGTAATTTTTTACTACCTTCTTTGCTGGATCTATTTTATCAGTAATTCTTCTCTCTTCTCCCCCTTCTCATCTTCTCTTTTAATTTGATATTTGAGAAAATAATGCAGCAAAGTTATAGCTAAAAGAGTACCCATCTCAAATCCATGTCCTTTTATTTCCTTATTCTGTTTTGCTTATAACTAGTTGACATTATATTTATTTATTTCCTATTTCTCCCATAGAGTATAAATTACTGAAGGTAGAGACTTTGTCTTATTCATTACTATTCCGTAATGTTTAGAACAGTGCCTGACATGCAATAGGTGTTGACTAATATTTGTTGAATGAATGAATGAATAAATGAATAAGTATATCTGGTTCCAGTACTGGCTCTCCACCTCTCTTGAGCCTCAGCTTCCTTATAAAACAAAGATAATAATAGTGCTTACTAGATAATTAAATGAGATGATTCATGGAAAGTGCTTAACATAGTGCTTATGATGAGTGTTCAGTAAATGTCACCTAACATTATTAACTTTCCAATCTTCTTAGTTGACCTATGTAAAAATACTTGTAGTAGATGGGGGCTCACCTGTAAGTGAAATTGGTGAACTTTTTTTTTTGATTCACTGACGTTACCATATTTTAATTTTTTCTTTTCTTCTGAATTGTCAGTTGAGAGTGGATGGTTGAGATTGTCAGACTTGTAATGCTCATAAGAGGACATATTTATCTCCAAAGTCATATATGAGTCATACCATGAGATTCCAGGCTCAGAACCTTAGATTTGTCCTACTGTGTTTAAAAAATAAACATTTAAAACAAATTAAATTAAAAATAAGACTCATTCAGGGCTTCCCTGGTGGCGCAGTGGTTGAGAGTCCGCCTGCCGATGCAGGGGACACGGGTTCGTGCCCCGGTCCGGGAAGATCCCACATGCCGCGGAGCGGCTGGGCCCGTGAGCCATGGCCGCTGAGCCTGCGCATCCGGAGCCTGTGCTCCACAACGGGAGAGGCCACAACAGTGAGAGGCCCGCATACCACAAAAAAGAAAAAGAAAAAAAAAAAAAAGACTCATTCATTCCACAAATATTTGCTAAGTATCTATTATGTTCTAGATATAAAACTGTACTCTTACTTCATGTGTACTCAGTGCCATTACTTTTGTTATTTCTTGGACAAACTGAGTGTGGGTAGGACTAATAGATATTTTTTGGGATTTTTTGTGTGTTTTTTGTTTTCCTTTTGCTGGATAATTGGATTTTTTTTGAAATCTCTGTAAGGCTGTTGCCATTATACATTCACCTTGGATTTCTCACAAATCATATGGAAGTCAACTTAGGAAATTACTTTAGTTAAAGTTACTTTTACATTAAGTATAATTACTTATGAATTTGTGGACTTGATTCAAATTCAAGTAGGTCATATATTTTCAGGGTAGACAAATTTCCACCTGTGTTAATGTGGTGCCTTCATTTTGAGTATAACATTGGTACAACACTTATATAAACAAAGCAACAGAATATAGCTTTATGCTTTCACATGCTTGATTGATATTTTTCATTTTATCCTTAGGGTGCAAGTCCCAGCACTCTTAAGGAGTTTTTGTGAGTGCTAGAAGGTCAGTAATTTGAATTATGGCCTGAATAAACACTGTTTGGTTCACTTGGTTTCAAAATCCCTTTGTTTCCCTTGTTGTAACATGTAACTAAAGTGCAAGTAAATTTTCTTCAAGGTGGATCTCTAATTTTGGATAACCCCTTTTCAGATCAGAAATTAGTTTGTAGACTGAAATCTCAAAATATGTTTTATCATTTGTACCTGTAACCTAAAACGTGCTCTCAAAGACTCTAGATTTATTTTGCTGAAGTTATTGTCTTAATGTTAGAAGTCTACATGCATACTCTAGTTCTAAAATTGCAAATGTTTGACCCAAGTGTGAATGCTTCCCCTTCCCTACCCATGACAGAGATTGTTTATTAACTGTGGCCTACTTTCCTGCCAAGCCTTGGTGAATCCTCAGCTGTGTCACAGAGTCCTTATAAAAACTGTACTCTAGGAAGGCACTACTATTAGTTCAGAATTGGCAAATATGAAACCTACTTGCTATTACTACTCTTAATTGGCTTGGCTGTGCTAGTAACTGTGAGCTCTTTGGATTCTCAAGGGTATCAGAATTTGGGAAAAAGATATATAAAATTTTTTAATGAAACAAAAATAGAGTACATTAAAATAAATTTCCAGTTTGATTTGATCTATAACACCTTTACTGATATCCTTCTAACATTTATTAAGTAGTAATAACAAGATACTAATAAGTACCATTTGTGAACTGCCAAATATTGACCACCTGCTATGTGCCTAGCACTATGTTAGATGCTTCACATCATTATCTCATTTAATCCTTATAATGATTTGCAAGGTAGGTATTATTATCCCTATTTTATAGATGAAAATTGGAACCCAGAGATTTTAACATGTCCAGGGCCCTGCCATTTGTTAGTGGCAGAGGCAGGATTCAGCTCAGGTTCATTTGACTCTTAACTTCTGGTCTTTTTGCCATATTAGTCTACTTCTCGGTTTATATGATGGCTGATGGTTGTGTTTGTAATAGTGCTATATATGTGTTTACTGGTTGAGTCTATGTAGAAGTATGCTGGTCAACTCTATAGAGGTGTTTGCTGGTCAAGACTTGTATGTCTCTCTTGACTCCTCAGATAATCAACAAACTCCTTAAAGTAATGGACACATACTTAGAATTCTCTAACACTGAAATATATCATTATGATGATATAATCAAAGCTTCTTTGAGATGTCAATACTGAGTACAGACATACTCAGTAAGTTTGACTGACTGATTTAATTTCAGAACTTCTTTAGGACTGGTACAAAAATGCAAAAGAATTTCCCCCTTAAATTGTTTGGATTTTTCAAAACAATTTTCTCTCCTAGGTAGGTGAAAATAATTTTGGTGAAAGAGGAAGAAGACACTCTGTGTTGTTTGGGGGTATCATTAAACTACCATTATACTTGCCCAGAATAAAACTGATACTACGGATTTATAAGTAATTTTTGTGTTCTCAGCTGTAAAATGGGGATAATAATAGTATCTCTGTCATAGGATTGTTGGGAGATTTAAATAGGCCAATGTGTATTAGCTCTAGGAGCTAATCTTGTTTCTGTTCTTTTCCTCAACCCTGCCATTTCCATACATCAAGTCCTGTTGACTCTACCTCTTAAGATAATCTGAATCTGATCACTTCTCTTTATTTTGACTACTAACACCCCAGTCCAACCAGCCTCTACCATTTCTTGCCTAGTCTACTGCAGTGGCTTCTTTACTAGTTTCACTGCTTCTGCTCTTACCTCTTACCACATAGCAGCTAGAATGATCTTTTAAAATATAAATCAAGTTTTGTTGTTTCCTTACTTAAAATCCTCTCATGGCTTCCCATTATACTTAGTATAAAACTTAGATTCTTTACTCTGGTTTACAAATTTGATCTGGACTCTGCTTACTTTTGCAACCCCTCTTTACCCTATATGCTTTTGCTATACTGGTTCTCTTTTCTGTTTTCAAATACATCAAGCTAATTCCTACCTTAGGTCCTTTGCCCCATCCTGTTCTCTCCGTCTGAAATGCTTTGTCCCGTATCATCTACACTTTTCTAGTCATACTGGCTAACCTTGAAGTCTCTTTCCTGCCGCTTTTTTCCTCCATTCTGTGTATCTATGAGCAAATCCTGTTGGTTTTACCTTTAAATATATTCAGAATCTGTTCACTTTTCATCAGTTCTACCACAAACATTTTGGTCATTGAAAGAGCCTCCTAATTTGTCTGCCTGTTTCTACTGTCTCTGCCCTGCTGTACTTTTCACCTAGCAGATCAAGTAATGCTTTTTTAAAAGTACTTTATTTTTTAGAACAGTTTTGGATTTATAGGAAAATTGAAAAGATAGTACAGAGAGTTCTCATATACCCTGTATTCAGTGTCCCCTGTTCTAAACAATTTATATTAGTATGGTACATTTGTTACAATTAATGAACCGATATTGATGCATTAATATTAACTAAAGTCCATGGTTTATTCAGATTTGTTTAGTTTTTACCTATTGTCTTTCTCTGTTCCAGGATACCACATTATATTTTCTTGTCATGTCTCCTTAGGCTCCTCTTGGCTGTGAAAGTTTCTCAAACTTCCTTGTGTTTGATGACCTTGACAGTTTTGAGGATTACTAGTCAAGTATTTTGTAGGATGCCCCACTACTGCAATTTATCTCATGTTTTTCTCATGATTAGACTAAGGTTATAGGTTTTTGGAAGGAAGACCACAGAGATAAAGTGCCATTTTCGTCATAACATGTTGATATGCTATCAACAAGATCTTACACCACCTAGTCCCCCATTACTTTGCTAAATCTGTCTCCTACTGCTCTCTACCTTATAAATTTCAATCCCGTTCATTAGGGTCCTAGAGGTTTCTTGAACATACCAAGCTTGCTTCTGCCTCAGGGGCTTTGTATTTGCTACTCCTGCTTCCATTGGATGCTCTTCCTCTAGGTAGCAACATGGATCAACCCCTACTTCTAGTTTCTGCTTAGTTGTCACCTTATCAGAGAGATCTTCATTGAATGTTTTATAAAAAATCATGCACCACTTCCATTTTCTTTTATTTCCTGCCCTGCTTTATTGTCTCTTCCATTTATCTCTACATGACATATATTTACTTTTTTATTTGTTTATTGTTTTTCTCCCCTTACTGGAATGTAGCTCCATGAAAATAAGAACTTTGTCTGTTTTGTTCATTCCACTATCCTCAGCCTCTAGAACCATGCCTGGCACATAGTAGATGCTCAACAAATATTTATAAATGAATGACTATCCAAATTATTTTCTAGAAAAATTGTGCCAATTTATACTCCCTAAGCAGTATATTGAAATGCTTACTTTACTTGATCTTGTACAGCATTGAATATTGTCTATTAAAATGTTTGGTTGGTAAAAATTGTTTCTTTTAAATACATTTTGATGATTACTAGTAAAGGAGAGCTTTTGTATATTTTTAGTTGTAAATTTCTTTTTCTTGAATTGCTTCATCATGTTTCATAAGCTATTTTTAAATTGTATGTAACTGTGAGTCTAGATACATTAGTAGTATGGTAGGTACATGAAAATAACTTATTTTATCTTCCTTAGGTTATTATAGTGACCACATCACCAAGTTCAACCTTCGTGCCCAACATTCTCTCCAAATCCCATAACTATGCAGCAGTCACTAAGCTTGTACCAACATCAGTCATTGCTTCCACAACTCAGAAGCCGCCAGTGGTTATAACTGCTTCACAGTCCTCTCTGGTCAGTAGTAGCAGCAGTGGCAGCAGCAGTTCTACACCATCACCTATTCCTAATACAGTTGCAGTAACAGCTGTGGTTTCTTCCACACCATCTGTGGTCATGTCAACAGTAGCACAAGGTAAGTGGTAATTCATCAGGTAATTCTGTCCCTGTGTTTATGGGAATTTCTTTCTTTTTAAATATTTTAATTTTATTGGAGTATAGTTGATTTACAGTGTTGTGTTAGTTTCAGGTATAGAGCAAAGTGATTCAGTTATACATATGCATATATTCATTCATTTTTAGATTCTTTTCTCATATAGGTTATCACAGAATATCACAGAGTTCCCTGTGCTATACAGTAGGTCCTTGCTGGTTACCTATTTTATATATAGTAGTGTGTGTATGTTCATCCCAAGCTCCTGATTTATCCCTCCCCGCAACGTTTCCCCTTTGGTAACCATAAGTTTGTTTTCGGTATCTGTAAGTCTCTTTCTGTTTTGTAAATAAGTTCATTTGTATTTTTTTTTTTAAAATTAGATTCCACATGAGTGATATCATATGATATTTGTCTTTCTCTGCCTGACTTACTTCACTCAGTATGAAAATCTCTAGATCCATCCATGTTGCTGCAAATGGCATTATTTCATTCTTCTTTATGGCTGAGTAATATTCCATTGTATATATGTACCACATCTTCTTTATCCATTCCTCTGTTGACGAATTTAGGTTGCATTTAGGTTGCTTCCATGTCTTGGCTATTGTAAACAATGCTGCAATGAACATTAGGGTGTGGGAATTTTGAAGAAGACTTTGTGGGTGTGTTTGTATGCTTTGGGTGTGAAGGTACCATCTGTTATATCAGAGATTACCACTTTCCCTCCCCTAGTTTGAGAATGTCAAGATAGTGGGTTACTCAGTTTCCTTACATTAATATCCTTACTTTGAGTTTTTTTTTTCAAATGCACAGTACCTAGTCACCTAGGCAATTATGTAGGTTAAATCTTGTCACCACAAATTTCAAAGGCATATACAAATATCTGTAATATAATGAAAATTTTAAGTGAGGAACTTGAAATTATTTTACTATAGGTTTTTTCAGAAGAAACATTAAATATACAACCTACAACCTCTTCAAAGTAAGTTACCCAATGATAAGAAGTAGGGGGAAGAGGATGATTTCAAGGACATGCCATTCACCTTTTCTTCAGGCTTCTAAATTTTTCTGTATGGGAGGATGATGGAAAGTATTGAGAGGAACTGAGGCTGAACTGAAGGACAATTGCTGCTTAATAGCAGAGGAAAGGAAATGTGGAAACCTCAGTTCCATGTTAGCTTAAATCACTTGAGCTCTCTTCCAAATCTTTGTTTTCCTCTCATATAAAGAGCAGATAGCACACTGTCAGAATTTTCTTTTTATAGTGTTGGTAAGTCTTAAGATGGGAATCAGAGGGAGCCATTTATAATACAGAATTCATAGCCATGGTTGTAGTCTTTCAAAGGGAGCACAGAAGCAATATAGAACAGTATTTAGTGTTCGTTTTCATTGAATTTTACTTGCACAATATATAGCTTAAGATAGGCTGAGACTTGGAAATATCCTAGTTTATGAACTAGTGGTGATGCAGGCACTCAAATAGGCAAACAGTGTTTTTCATAATTGCTTTAGTAATTTTAGTGTGTTCCATATAACTGTTAGCAAGGAAGAGGTTACATAGATGCGGATGCAGTCAGTATTCATTCATTCTGCAGGTCTAACTGGTTGAATGTGAGAGCATCTGTCGTTTTCTGTTTCCAATACCCATTTAATGTCTCAGTCAATGATAGGAAATAGTAGGCTTGAAATTTTCTTTTATTTGTTACCTTAAGTAATTTAAATAAACCATTCCAGCCTTTCTGTTTGTACAGCAGTAAACTACAACATAGTATTATTAAAAATAGAAATAATTTTTATATAGAAAATCTGTATAAATGTTGGTTGCAAACATGATCCAAATTCACCATTTCAAAATTTCAAGGTGATGAGAGAAGGAAAGACCACCTGTTTCCTCACCTGACTGACCCCTGTATCAAAGTTGTCATCCATTGATAGTTGTTCCCTTCTAGTGCTCATCACACAGTTTGCCAAAGTGTTGCTGTAGTAGAAGGATTACTGTTCTTCCAAGGAAATTGTTATTATTTGAGATAAGAGGGGTATCTCTCTTAGTTACTATCGAAATATTTTTAAGCAAAATGAATATTCCATGCTTCTGGTTTTCATTCTTATATTTCTCCAACTATCTTCTGAATCTCTTGGGAACTTATGACTTCCCTATTTTCTCCTTTGTTTCTTAGCATCCTATATCTCTTTGAGTCCTACGTCATTTTAGGGGAGCTAGACATCTCAAAGATTTCTCATAAATTCAATACAGCATGAAAGATGTAAAAGTAAACTATCTGAATGTAGATACTCAAGGAAACTATATGATTATTTTGGGGTTTTGTTTGAGATATTTAATTTAGATATAAGTGCTAAGGAAATTAAGCCATTTTCTTTTAAAAAGGTAAATGTTAGTGGAAGTGGTAATATATAAACTGCAGTTGTGATTCTGACTGCAGGGCTTCTTTAGCAGCTCTTGTGTGGGTACCTAGGGGACAAGGGCATTCAGTGTCTGCTTCTGTTGGGGACTAGAGACAGACTGTTTTAGAGCTGATGTATCTGTCTCTGGTTAGTCTTATAGGGGCAGCTGGTCATAGAGGGGGAAGAGTCTTAGTAGCAATAACTTCGTGGCTAACTCCATGTTTATAAGTGTAGAGATGGTTCCAGAGGTAGGGAGTAGGGGGATTGTGTATGGTTGGCTCATACAGGAAGTCTTAAATTCTACCAATTAGAATGCTTATTCTGAATTGGTCATCCACGAAACAGGATAACTGAAATTTTCTTTTTTATTATGGAAAATTCCAAACACATAAGTGGATAGAATAGTAAAATGAACCCTCATTGTACCCATTACCCAGCTTCAAGGATGAGCAACACATCATCAGTCTTGTTTCATCTGTACCTGCTATTTTCCTCTACACATCAGTGACCCGGAATATTTTGAAGCAAATCCCAAATATCATATAATTTCAGTTATAAATACTTCAGTATGTATCAAAACTCACAATACCACTATCACATCTAGAATTTTTAACAGTTTCTTCATATAATAAAATATTTAGTTAGTATCCAAATTTCCTTGATTATGTCATAAAAGAATTTTTTAAAAGTAAGATCTAAATAAGGTCCACACATTGATATGGTTATATCTTTTTTAACTCATGGGTCCCTCTTCTGTTTTTTTCTTTTCTTTTCAAATTATTTGTTGAAGAAATCAGTCATTTTTCCTGAGAGTTTCCCGTAGTCTGGGTTTTGCTGATTTTAATTCCCATGGTTTAACAAGTTCTCCTATTTATTATTTTTTTATTAAATTTATTTATTTTATTTTATTTATTTTATTTTTGGCTGCATTGGGTCTTTGTTGCTGCACACGGGCTTTTCTCTGGTTGTGGCGAGCAGGGGCTACTCTTCCTTGAGGTGCGCAGGCTTCTCTTGTTATGGAGCACGGGCTCTAGGCATGTGGGCTTCAGTAGTTGTGGCTCACGGGCTCTAGAGCGCAGGCTCAGTAGTTGTGGCGCACGGGCTTAGTTGCTCCACGGCATGTGGGATCTTCCCGGACCAGGGCTCAAACCCATGTCCCCTGTATTGGCAGACGGATTCTTAACCGCTGTGCTACCAGGGAAGCCCCTCTCCTGTTTATATTTCCATAAAACTGGTAGTTAAATCAAGAAACTTGATCAGATTCAAGTCTGATTGTTTTTGGAGATATGGGGAATGAACGTTCGATAAGTGTATTTAAGTGTACTTCCTGTGCATCGTTTTAGGAGGCACATGTCTGGTCTCTAATGATATTAACATTAATCGGTAGATATAAGTATTACCAAATGTTTTTATAGCTAATGGTAATCTTTCCCTAGATCATTATTTTATTGGTAGTTGCAAAATGAATTTTATCTTCATTTTCTTCATTTATTAGCTGGAATTCTTAAAGAACTTTAACTTACTACCATGGGTTATCCTGAGGTACAGTTCATACAGGAATTATTTCTGTTTATTTATATGTTTTCAGATAATGAGATGGTTCAGTGACCAATAAGATTTTTGTTCCCCATATCATTAAGATTTCTGATGTCTGTCAATCCATCACAAATATTCTTTTGGTGCTCAAATTGTCCAATCTGTTGCAGTGGGAGCCTCTTCAAGTTGGCTTCTAAATTCTTTTGACACAACCACAAAAGACAAATTGATCAAATTTTCCTTTTTTGGGTGGCGTCTATTTGTAGTATCAGTTATTGAGAGGAGTGTAAAAACCTCCAGCTGTAATTGTGGGTTTGTACATTTTTCCCTTTGTCGGTTGTTGTCACATGTATTTTGAGCTCTGTTATTAGGTGTATGCACGTTTAGGATTGTTGTATATTCTTGATGAGTTGACTTCCTTTTTATTATGAAACATTGTTGTATATTCTTGATGAATTGACTTCCTTTTTATTATGAAACATTGCTCTTTTTCTCTCAGTACTCCTTATTTTGGTGTTTACCTTTTCTGATATTAATGTAGCTACTCCAGCTTTCTCATAATTAGGGTTTGCATCATATTTTTCATCTGTTTACTTTTAACCCATCTTTGCCTTTGTATTTAAAATACATCTCTTATGAACATTGTATAGTCAGGGCTTACTTTTTTATCCATTCTGACCATCTTTGCCTTTTAATTGAAGTGTTTAGTCCATTTATATTCGATATAATTATCAATATGATTGAGTTTAGGTCTACTATCTTAATAATTGTTTTTTATTTGTTTTCTGTATTCTTTGCTTTCTTTTCTCCCATTTTACTGTCTTCTTTTGGATTTATTGAGTTTTTTAAGAAAAAGGATTCTATTTTATCTCTTACACATTGGCTTACTAGCTCTACTTTTTTGTTCTTTTTTAATAATTGCTTAGGGTAGGGTTCTCAACCTCCACATATGGACATTTTGGACCAGATAATTTTTTGTTATGAGGGGCTGACTTGTGCATTATAGGATGTTCAGCAGCATTCCTGGCTTTTACCTACTAGATACCAGTAGCACACCCTCCTGTCATAACAATAAAAAATGTCTCTAGTGATTACCAAATATCCAGGGGCAAAAGGGAGAGCACAATTGCCCTGGTTAAGAACTCAGCTCTAGAGCTTACATTATACATTGTAAATTGTAACAGTCTGTCTTCAACTTCCCATATTGTATTTGAATCTTCGAATAATACACTTCTATTTCTATTTCTGCTCTCTCATCCTTGCACTCTGGTTATCATACATTTTAATTATATATATCATAAACCCCACATTGCATTGTTACTACTTTTGCTTTAAACAGTCAATTTTCTCTTAAAGAAATTACGGAAAGGTGGGGGGGGGGAGTCTTTTATATTTACCAACCTCATGTACTTTTCCTACTCTAGTCCTTGGTTTAGCCATTTCTCTAAGGAGCCCTGATTCATTTTAGTGGAAAGTGATAATTAGAAGAAAATTTGGGTGCTAGATATGCTCATTGCTAAGGGGTGTGTGTGTGTGTGTGTGTGTGTGTGTGTGTGTGTGTGTGTGTGTG